AACATAGCTTCCAAATATATTATCATTCTAAATTTATTAGGATTATCTGAACACTTAGGACAACTGACTTGACCTTTAAAATAGTCTTTATTGGATGCACATAAGACTTTTTTTTACTTAATATTATTTCCAACATAATTTTATTGAAACATCCATTGGTACAACATTACACAAATCATAGATCTTATGTTTTAATTCATATGTGAGCATTATGTATATCGCAATAGAATTCATATGTGAGCATTATCTATTCGGATAAGAACTCCAAAGCAAGCGGAAGCAGGTGAGGTCATGCCAACCTCAGCTGAGATCAGGCCTCCAAAGTTGTATATATATATATATATAGGTCAAATTTAAGTCTAAGACTTTATGATAAATTATCAGAATCCTTACTAAGTTAGGTGATATTTTTACTAGAGTAAATTATTATACAATATTTTACTTAAAAATATTTTTATTATTAGATTTTTATCTAATGATACCCTCGTAATTGGTTAACATGAGTTTTATTAAGGGATATTAATGATAATGATATATGAAAAATATACTTTAAATTAAATTTTATAATGATAAGTATGCTATTTTAATGGGTAGTCAGAAGAGATGAGATAGAGAAAGATCTAAAAATATTTTAATAAAAATTATAAATAGATATTTAAGTACTTTAAACTTAATTAAGTATGTAATTTTTTATAGATCTTAATAGCGATAAAAAATTTATATGATTGATCGTAAATAATTAAGGCTTACGATTTTATTATTATTATTATTATTATTATTATTATTATTATTATTATTGTAATGATAAATATGTTATTTTAAATATATAAGTATTTTATTGAGTATGAAAAAGTATCAACGATTTGATTAGCTAGGCATCTTTATTGTATTATTTATATCTAGCTACGAGTTGCTCCAATCTAGTTGAGATTTATGAACTCGAGCTTATAAGACCTAAGGTGTAGAAACCAACCTATAAGGCCTCAACATCAATTTGAGAGGGGGCTTATCTCTATGTTATTATACAAGAATAATTTGCCATACTCAAGAATCAAACATATGTTATCTATCTTCGAAAGCTTCAACATCGATTTAAGAGATATTTATCTCTATGATCTCATGTAAGAGAAAACATTATATAAAATATATCTTGAGAGATCCCTTCGATGCTTAAGTCAATAAGTATCTAATATCGATTAAGAAACCAAAGGTCTAATGTGAAGTATGGATGATTCAAGCGAAAAAAAAAAAGAGTTTAGACCATAATTAGAGTGTAACTTTATTTATAATAATAGTTTACGATTACAAAAATAGTCGTATTCACTTGTTTTCAGAAATATCATGAAAAATAATCATCATATCATGTTCATTGAAAAGATAATTATCCTAGTGGTAATTAACATGGTAATTAAGAAGTAAAAGGTTCGAGCATTGCTTGAAAGCATCTAACCATACCGGTAATGTTTGAACGAAAAAGATAATAATGTCACACAATACCATTGGCTTGTCAAGATGGGTTTGAAGAGTGATTTAATTTGATCATCCAGAAGACCGATCCAAACAAGGCCACAACCCCCCTATGATTTATTTAGAATAGATTTCAAAATTTAAAAATAGAAAAAGTATTTATCCAACATAATTATCGAGGCTTGCTTCCTAATGGTAATTTTTTTTACTATTGATAACTCCTTTAGTATGGATAATCTTTAACAAAATATAATTTTACTATTTATAATCCCAAATTACCAATCTTACCATTTTATTTTTTTTCTCATAATCCCTAATTACATCTAACACCTCAATATTGTCCGATCTTATTTGTCATCCCCTCAATGTTTATTGATGATGAAGAAGAAAATAAGGAAGAGTAGAAGAAGAAAAAAAAAATCTATCTGTAAAGAGATATTTTATGAATATTAAAAAATTTAAAATAAAAATTATGAATAGTAAAAAAGATGGGTGAATTCGCAAAAATAGCTCATAACTTTGGGGTTTTCTCGTTAAGCCCCTTTTTTTTTTTAGAACTAACCATTTTTTGCCTTTATCAATCATCGCCTTTCGTTATGTCTCCACATGCCTAGCTATGCTTTTGCCCCATCGATCGTCTCTCTCTGCCTCGCACTTGGTAATCCTACCTGTGAGCCCTCACACAAGGAAGGAGAAGCTACCTATCGACCCTTGCATAATCATTGCATCGACGATGATTAACGAGGGAGGAGGGAGAGGTTTCCGGAGAGACAAAAAGCAACAATGAGTTCAAGGGGGTCAAAAAAGACTAATGATGATGTATTTAAATAAAAAATAGATATGATTAGTTTTGTATCAAACGGGATATGCAGAGGCAATCGTAGCTCTCATGTCCCCTCCTACTTCGTGCGAGGCTCGATGGGTTGATGAGGGTCGACGGGTCGAGTGACCAAGAGTGAGCGGAGGTGTAGCTAGGACCGGAGTTACAAATAATTTTTTTTAATATTATAAGAATAAAAAAATATATAACAAAAGATATTTTATAATAATTTTTAAAATTTGAAACACTCTAATAAAAAAAAAAAGCCATAGAGACCATTGGGAATTCGTCCCAAAAAAATTAGAATTAAAAATTCAAACTCACATGCTATCCACTGGCGTACGCCTTCCGAATTCTTAACTGTTCTCAACCCAACTCAAAGAGTTCTACCTCTTAGTCCTACTAGGCTTAGTTGCAGTTGAAACGTAGCCCCCACAAAGTTGTAACCATTGGAACATTAGTCAAAGATATAATCTTTTCGAAGGCTATTCACAACTCACATGTTAAGATTTAATGACTAAATGTTAGATATTTTATCGAAGTTTTACGACTTATCCTGTTGGTTTAGTTAACTATTTTTATTTTTTCTAGATGGATTTATATAAACATTATACTCGTAAGTTTTGACAAACAACTATCCTCGTAAAAGAGTAAAATAAAAATAACATATTTATCCTTCTCAACTTTAATATCATTAGTATATAATTATGAAAAATTTAGCAAAAAATATCTTTAGTAATAGGTTTTTAATATATGACCCTTTTATATTTCACTTTTATCATGCGATGCCTTTTCTCTAAGTTTTAATCAAAATATTCTCCATAAAATTATAAAAAAATAATAATTATCCTTTGATTATATTTGATTCGATTTTTTCAGACTAAATCGATTTTTTGAGATGAACCAATTGATTCAACTAAATCTTAATTATTCAATTTGATTTAATTAAACCTTGGATTATTTCTTGATTTTTTTCAAATTATCTCCCACCTTCTCCACCTAATCTTCCACTATTGTCTCCTCCCCTCCCTCGTTCACTTCTTCCTTCTCTCACTTCACCTCTACATCACCTCCTCCCTCTCTAGTTTTGCCTCATCCATCTCCTACTCCATTATCTATTCTCTTTTATCCATCTCCATCACCCCCTCATCTTTTGTCTTCTCCTCCTCATAGTTTACACAGATAGACTATTGCACTTGAGTATAATCAGATTACACTCATTCACATAAAATATTAAAAATATATTTTTTTAGTATAAAATTATATTAAATTTATCATAGAATTAAAAAATTTAAATTATCCTAATATATGTATATATATATTTTATTTTTTAAATAAAATTATTCTAAGTTATCCAGAAAAGTCATTATGCTTGGAGTGACACTTATTCATAAAAAATATTAAAGTACATTAGTTTTGATATAAAATTATCCTAGATTCGTCGTAAAACTAAAAACTCAAGTTATCTTAAAAAATATATTAATTTTTATGTAAAATTATTCTAAAGTATCCAAAACAAAAATGTTATGCTCGAGTTACACTTATTGTTTAAATAATAATAATTTTATATAAATTATCTTAAATTTATTATAAAACTAATCACAAAATCCTATATTTTCTATTTCATATATTGACTTATTTACCCTTGAAATCAAAATAAGTTAAATTCAATTATTTAATCTACTTTAAAAATTAATTTTTAAAGATATTTTTAGGTTAATTAATTATCAAAACTTTAAGAATTCTACCAGAATACGATTCTAATAATACTACAACAAAATATACTAGAAAAAGTTATGGATTTTATAATCACAAGTAAATGTCTACATATTACTATGGTAACTCAATCACAATAATAGATTATTTCATCCCACAATCGTTAACCACAATAATAAATCATGCTTTATCATGTAAGAATAGCTGCAATAATAAATCAATCACAGTAATAGATACTTTTGCCCTATATAAAATAATTATAATAATAGATTTCTTTTACGAAAAAGATTATATTTTATAGCATGGATGACAACCACAATACTAGACTATATAATAGATAAGATGATTTATCTATGATTACACTTAGCAACCATTGGGATGGATCACAATAATTTCATAAAAGACTAACAAATTCATTTATCAACAATATCGTTTATACAAAATAATAATAATAATAATAATAATAATAATAATAATAATAATAATAATAATAATAATAATAATAATAAAGCATAGCCAACTTCAAATACAAAATTTAATTAACTACTTCATATAAGTTTATCATAACATAATGCAATCAATATTTTACAAAAATAATTCTCCATATGTTCCCTCAACATGCAGCAAATAAATAAATATAGAAAATAATGATAATTGGATATTTCTAAAATCTTAATTTCAATACAATGATATGAATGCTGAGAAGGAAAGACAACATAGATCGCATAAAATTGATCATGTTGTGAATAACAAGAAATATCTATCATCACAAAGAACTACATCCTATACAAGCTTTATTCTTTTCTCTTTTTTTTTAGCATCACTTAAAGAAAGAAAAATTAAATTCTACTTAAAGAATGAATATATGACAGGTATCATCAAAATAAAGTAATAATGAGTCACATACTTTCTTCTACATCCTCTTTTTGTTTCCTATGTTATAGTTTCTTTTTGTCCTTCCGAGATCTACAAAAATAAAAGCCAAAGAAAATTAATTACACAGCCTCCATAGATAGATGTGATCTTTTATATATAATAAACAATAATATACTGTTTTTTTATATGACAAACAATAAGATAGTAATATTCTTAAGAATGAGAAAGGAAAAAAAAAAGGTTCATGAAAATTATTTTGGTGAATAATTTAGCATTAACTAATTTAGAATTTGTGAGAGCCTCAACCATATCGATGAACATAGTAGGAGTATATATAATCTAAAGAAAAAACATACGAAGTAATTATATGATTGTTTCGTGAGAATTTGAAGGTCGAAGTAAGGCATGTAAGAAACGCATGAGACACAACTACACATTACTATTATTATTAGAATGATACTATCATGTGGTTATTTATAATAATTGAATAAAATATATAATAGAATTAATTGGATTCTGATGATAGATATTGATAAGAAGAAAAGAAGTCTATATTATAGTAAGATTCCATAGGGGATGTCCTTGATGGGAGGTACTCTCCTAATAATTTATCATATATTCTCTGTTCTCACATATAAATAGATATGACCTCTAGAAACTAAATGACGCATGTCATAGAGTACGTAGTTGAAAGATTATAGTTTTTCTCTCAACCTCCCTAAACCACTTATAGAAAGAGAGGAGGAGAATCTAGTTCTCCTTACAATAGTTTTTAGATCTAAATATAATATCCAGATCACACAGAAATCATTTTTCAAATAACATCGAAAGATATACATCATATAAAAACCAATTTAATGTTATTTGATTTCAATCATAATATAATTTTTTTTTATTACATATAACGTATAATTATATTAAGCACCAAACACACTACCCACCTCTACCAATGTGCACCAAACATATAATGTTATTTCTGTAATGCCCTCTTTAAAAGAAAATGTTTTGACTCTTCACTTTTGATCCTCTACCGGTTGGCTGATGAAAAGAGGAAAAGGCTTCATCAAATTAACTCACAAGTAAACCCGCGACATAAGGCTTTACTTATTACTAGGGTTTCTAATAACCACAGTTAAAAGTCCAACTTAATGCAACACTTTGAAAAATAATAGCTTTTAACTATTTACAACTGCAATCCATCGTGTGCAGTCTAAGATCAATTTAATTGTTGTGTAAATATTATACTATTTTTTATTTGATAATTATTCATAAAAAATAAAATAATTTTAATAGATTATGAATATAACACACGTATAATTCAATTGAAACATAAATGTAGCTTGAACATAAAGGATATCCAAATCGATCCTAAGGGATCCGATTCAAATTGATTTGACTTGAATCGAATTAGATTACAAATCGATTGACTCGATTCAAAGGTATTATTAAGATTTTTTTAAAAAAAGATACTCCTAGTAAAAATCAAAGCGTCATATAATAAAAATTTATTACTAGGATTATATATATATATATATATATATATAATAAATTAAGATTAATCATTATGATTATCAATGATCTCGATACAGATAAAAACTCCAAACTCCAAACACCCAACATATCCATTATTAGTTTCATTGCTCACTTGACTTTTCGATTTAAAACTTAATTTTATAAATAAATAAATAAATAATATTATTAAAAATATAAACAACTTTTTGAAGGATATTAATATGAATTGGAGATAGAACACTAATTACAGTGAAATATTTGTAAGTTACTGTGTCTTGAAGGAATACAATATGCTAAACTTCAAAATTCGGATTAGGGATATCTACGCGAAAAATGTAATCTCCAATATTTATTATTGAATATTTATATTATCAATTGAAAATAAAAGGTCAATTACAATAACATATATATATATATATATATATATATATATATATATATAT